AGAGCTTAACTCTAATTGTTAATTTATTATTTATTCTAAGTAGCTCTTCTTTATCAAAAATTAATGCAATATTTCTTTGAAGCAAGTCTGTATTTTTTCGTAGCAAATTAATATTTTGTTGTTGAATTTCACTACTATTGATTTGAGAACCAGATGCCATTTTTGTTTAATTAATTTAACTAATATGTGAATTTATAGTTTTTATTTATATTGGCAAATTTAATTAACATTCACACAAATCATGTGCTTATTGTTCTTACGTCATTTGCAGTACCCCCTATGTTGTAGGAGCTCGACCCAATCTCGCCACGAAATTAGTAACGAATGCGCGCATGAATTATCGGCTCCCACCTGGTTGGTAAACCTAAATTACTCTTGTATGCCATCTCCCTCACAATGAGCTAATCACAAGCCATATGGCAACGGCAGTAGCGAGCCATATCGGCTTACCCTGAAACTTAGCCGGCATCACGATCGGACACCATCTCTCTCACATCGCATTGCGTAGGTCATTGACGTTTCCAATCGATGCCGGCAAAGTTTTCAGTCGAACTTTGATGATGGTGATCCATTGCACAGATTGCCAACGCCAAAGTTCGATTAGAGTTTGCAATCACAGGGAATAATTGACCTGCACGTTATTTTAAGTACGTGCATGTGCATTATTTTGAGATAAATCTGATTAAAATAAATTACCGAACGAGCAAGATTATATACTATATTTCTAACAAAAGCTGAATTTTGCTTTTGTTATAATAAAGCATCTTCATTTTTCATATTGGATATGTATTTATATAAAATTAAATCTTAAAAACATTGAAACTAATATAATTAGTCGAGTTCGCTATAGGCTCCGGTCTGCGAACTCGACTGGCGCTCATGGCTTATATCCTACTATACTGATTGCTGCACCCGATGCTCGCCGCTTGGGCACACTTTCAGGAAAGTGTCAAAGCTTTTTTTCCACTACAACATTTGTTACGATATGCCCTGATGCCTCGATGGCATGAATTTCGTCACCTTTTAGGCCACGAAATTAATGCTTATCTTATTTCACGGCATATCTCACAAAGTTAAATCATTTCGATGGCATGAATTTCGTTGCCTTTTAGGCCATGAAATTAATGCTTATCTCGTTTCAAATTACCGTTTACAAGTTTAGATTAAATGTACGCATAAAGATTTATTTGAATAAAAATATATACAGCGTATATTGAATTACAAATATTTGGTAAAATCATTTTTTGGATTGTTAATCGAATCTTTTCACATGGATGCTACTAATTTAAATGATCTAATTCTGGATTATTTCTTTTAATTATTGATCGACAAATTCGCAACATTTACAATAATTTTGAGATTCAAATAGCTGAATCTTCATGCTAAAAGTTACTTTTAACAAGAGCTGAATTTGGCTTTTGTTATAGTAAAGTTAAGAAAAAAAAGCGTTTGAGCCTGATCAAAGTTTAATCACACCTAAATGCTTTATTATAACAAAAGCCGAATTTAGCTTTTGTTAGAAATATAGTATATAATCTTGTTCGTTCAGTGATTTATTTTAATCAAAAAATTGACCCTTATCTCAAAATAACCGTAAAGTGTGTTTTATTTAGAGAAATCGAGAAACGATGGTTTTACACAAGAGTCGAACAAAAAAATTCGATATCTTGACGAGTTTTTGTCCGAAATGCGTCAAATTCTAGAAAACAAAATTTTAACCAGTTCCCTAACATGTTAGTTAATACGCAGCACCTAGTTTAGACCAGATTCGGATTCTCGTAGAAAAAGATTCGCAGGGACACGATGTGATTGGTCAGCACTGATTTTTTTTTTGCCAAAAATTGAACGTGTTCAATTTCTTGTAGAAAAAGATTCGCGGGAACGCGATGTGATTGGTCAGTACTGATTTTTTTTGACAAAAATTGAATGCGTTCATTTAGCATTTTACTAATCGGGTAATGTTGAATTACCCACTTTGGCTCATTCTGTGGCCAAAAGCATTTTACGAATTGGGTAATGTCGAATTACCCATTTTGTCTTATTTTGTGGCCAAAAGCATTTTACTAATTAGGTAATGTTGAATTACCCACTTTGGCTCATTCTGTGGCCAAAAGCATTTTACGAATTCAAAAATATAAAATTGTATTGATGTGTTCATGAAAATATTAGCGTGTATCATTAACATGGTCGTCTTTTAGATATTTATTCAGAAAAGGATCTTTTTATTATGTGAATCATTTTTTAAAGCAAAATCATAAATTTAATCAATGTCCTGATTGCTATAGAATTAGTGTAAATAGAAAAAACGAATTGGAGTATATTAGGGTAAAATGTCAATGTTTTAAGAAATATTGCATTAATTTTTGATAAAGAAGAGCTACTTAGAATAAATAATAAATTAACAATTAGAGTTAAGCTCT